CCTTTGTAAGAAAATCTGGGCGGAGACTCCGGGCCAATCAGCTGCCTCCCAAGTCATGCGGCTGGGAGCACCGGGGAGAATCTGCGCCTGCCTCCGTGTTCTAGTGAGTGCTGTGAAACTCGCTTTCGGACATGGGCGCCCTTTTCCCGTTTCTTTTACTGCATGCAGGGCTTGCAACCTTCGTAAGTATATCTGTGGGTCACTGTAATCATGTCCTGCTCGCGGAGTTCCTTGGAAGAGAATCTGCGCCTGCCTCCGTGTTCTAGTGAGTGCTGTGAAACTCGCTTTCGGACATGGGCGCCCTTTTCCCGTTTCTTTTACTGCATGCAGGGCTTGCAACCTTCGTAAGTATATCTGTGGGTCACTGTAATCATGTCCTGCTCGCGGAGTTCCTTGGAAGAGGAGCTGTTGCTGCCGCCGCTGCTGCTGCGGGGGTGGGGTGGGGGGTGTTTTCCTTGCTGGCAGTTCCGCATTGAGGTTTCCCAGTAGGGCACAGAGTACTTGGGGGTTGCCTTTTAATGGAGCGCGGCCTAACTGATTTGCGTGCGGCACTCTCCCTGTAGTGGGATGCCTGCAGGACGGGAGGAGGGGCGAGTTCAGCAGATGAGTTTGCAGCTGTCTAATTAGGGTTGCAAAGAGAAGTTTTCAGGGGAGGGGCAATACTGTGGGAATTGCCGTAAAATAATGGAAGGGCGAGAATTGTGGGGAAAAGAAGGATCACTGCCAATGCTCCCTCTAAGCTGTGGAGTCCTGTGAGCAAAAATTCTACTTTGTGAGCGGCTGGCGCTAAAGTTGTGAGCAAGCCATTTGGCTGCTGCATAAATTAGTTAGCTCTGGAGCCCTCCTTGCTGAGCTAGGACAAAAATGTGTGAGCCGGAGGCTAAAAAACTGTGAGCTAGCTCACACTAACTCAGCTTAGAGGGAACACTGATCACTGCATTGATTCATGTTTCGCCTTGGCTGCTTTTCCGTGTGCTCCGGAAGCATCCGATCTTCAGTAGAAGCCCAGCGATTGTTGTGAGGAAGTTGACATCACGTGAGGGTGGGCCACGGGTGATTGCATCACATGAATGATCCTCTGCTGGTCTCCGTCCTTCTGGCTTGTAAGCTGAATTTTTCAGCCGCTAGGTATGAGTAGGAGTTCGTTGCTGTCCTTCTTTCCATGGATGTAGAAACAGCTGCTAGGTTTGGGAAGAGGCTGGTGAATTGGAGGAAGTAATAAGTCTGCTGGTAGTATAAGAGTGACCGGTAGTGTCAGATTTCAGCCCCGGATGGAGATCTTGGGACACCCATAGTTTTAGCTTGCTTGGGCACTTGGAGCAGCTAGTGTTCCTATGAAGGGGATGCAGGGGCAGCATACCCCAGGGGCAGGCTTTTGCTAATCTAAACGGATCAGCAGGCCGACGGTATATCTTTTCTTGAAGGCGTCCTGTGCTTCCTGTAGTGGTATGGCAGCCCCTTACAGTCACCTTCAGTGATTGTGATGGGCCCAAGGGCACCTGGGCAGGCTTCCATAGTTCAGTGAGGGTTTAGAAGAACCCCCATCATCCCAGTTTCTAGTCCAGCACTCTAACCACTACGCCACACCAGCCCTCCATGCCGAGGGCCTTGTTGCATGTATCCCAAAGTTGCATTCATCCCTTGGGAAATAATCACTAAAAACAGGTTTTTGAGCAGAATGGGGCTAGCTGTGTTGTTTTGAACCTGTTGAGTGCCGATATTTCCTGTTTCTTACATTGTCCCAATCTAGATTGTTGTTTTCTGTATCATCTTACAGTGTGAGAAAGCATGCAAAACAAAGCTTTAATGATTAAAGCTGTGATGGAGCTGCCACTCGTGTTTGGATGAAAAAAGAGCATTGTCAGACTTGGAGAGATGGCTGGCTCATGTGGCAGCTGTGCCTTTTCCTTTCTTTCTTCACCTAGTTGTGATGGCGCAGAGCAGCAATGCTCTTGACCAGGACTGTTCTAAGTAGTTGAGAAATGCATCTGTTGCAGCCAGCGTCACTACTTGCAGGGATTTTATAATGGTTTTGGTGTACAGCGATGGGTTGTCTGTTCCTGATAGGAGTTCCCTTATGGCTTCCAGACACTCATTGCCTCTCCCTTATATGACAGATGTCTCAGGTGATGGGACTGAGGTTGAGAGAGAGAGAGCTTCATTAAGTTACTTGTTGAGGTTGTGGCTGAGGTTTGACTTAGCGACTTCATGGTCATAACACTCACTCAATACCATTTTGTATTAGAGGAAAAGTGGACTTGGGGCAGCTTATGAAAAAACAGAGTAAACTGTGTGTGGGGTCCCAAAGTGCAGCCTGTAGTTGAATTGCTTCAGAGAAGGCTGAGGTTTGCATATTTTATTATTATCTATTAGGGGAAACAATTTATGGAACTTCTTCATATTCTGGGGAGTAAAAAGCGTTTGGTGGAAAGAAGGCTATTTATATGTTTGAACCAAAGGGCCATATTTTTGAGCCACTGGGGTGCTCCATATACTTGGATTTATTATGCCACCTTTCCACCCGATCAGGCACCACCCAGCAGTGAATATTAAAACATTTACTTCAAACAATTAAAAATGTGGTTCAAATGATAACATTTAATTAAAAACACGTCAACCTACAGCACCAGAAGGAGGGCTAGTACCATTTTGGGGGTATGCCAGACAGAACACAAAGGTGAAAGTCACCAGCATAGTGATTCAGACGAATCTCCCTTGGGGAGGGACTTCCAAAGTTTTGGTGCCAAGACAGAGAAGGCCCTTTCTTGGTTCACCACCCATCTCTTCTGAGGTGGTGGGGGCAAATGAAGCAGGTCCTGTCATGATGACCAGAGTGAACAAGTAGATTGGTATGGGAGAAAGCGATTCTTAAGGTATGTTGGTCACAGGCTGTACAATGCTTTAAAAGTCAATACCAGCACCTTGAAGTGAGCCTGGAAGCAAATTGGAAGCCATTGTAGGTTGAATGAGGCTGGAGTGATATAGTCCCTTTGACCTACTCCAGTAAGTGCTGTAGCTGTGGCATTCTGTACCAGTGGTAGCTTCCAAGCAGTCTTCAAAGGCAGCCTCATGTAGAGCATATTGCAGTAATCCAATCTAGATGTTACCAGGGCATGCACCACAGTGGCAAGATGTCATCTCTCTAGGAAGGGCTGCAGCTGCCTCACCATCTGAAGCTGCTGAAAGGTGCCTCTGGCCACTGCTGTCACATGTTTATTCAACAGGAGGGCTGGGTCCAGATGCAGGCCCAAGTTATGAACCTGCTCCTTTAGGGGGAGTGCAACCCCATCCAGAGCAGAGTATAACCCATTTCCTGGGTCAGATCTTCCCCCCACCAGTAGCACATTGACAGTTCTCACTCCACAGAACATGGTAAACATATGACTTGGGTATCATCAGTTGCTTCTGTCTGCTATCCACACATGCAGGGGAGGGAAATGTATTTTAACATCTAAAGCTGATGGTAGTTCCTGGTTTCAGGCCAAATTTACCAAGGAATACCTCCAGACCTTCGTGATTATCTACTGGAAACTCGTCTAAGAACTGGGACAATTCATGACTAGAGATGATCATCAAGCAGTTGTCACTCGAAGCAAAGATTGCAGCATTAGCTGGGATTGTCTGCTTTTCCATGATAGCATCACGGACTTATTTGGCTGAAAGGATTGAGGTGAAGAGGTTAAGATGGCTGCTCAAGTTGCAGATGGTATTCTTTGCTAATACCTTGATGCTCATAGGATCTGTTCATATATGGAGAAACACAGTGACTATGTTCTACAGATCGCCAGCAGTTAACGCTTGCTGTTTCACCTTTTGGAAGGTAGCTGTGTTAATGTTCCTGATTCTGGCACACTCAAGCTCTTCTACAACGCTGTTTCTTGTGGCAGAAGAGCCTTATTTCTTTTCTTTAGTAGCTTACACCTGTCTTGGAGGCTATATCATCCTTATTTTCTTCCTCTTCACCCTGGGTTCCTTGGAGCAAGGCTATAAGCTTTTGGTCCACAGAAATACAAATTTGAACACTATCAATAAAAATGGCAAACTGGCAATGAAAAAAACAGTTCTAGCCATTACAGTGACGGTTGCATTGACTATTCTTGGTCTCCTGAATGCCTCCCAGCCTCCTGCAGTGAAATCAGTTGAAATTACTGTTCACAAACTGCCATTGTCAATGGACAAACTGAAGGTGGTATTACTGTCTGATATTCATCTAGGGCCCACTGTTGGAAAAAGCAAACTTGAAATGATCGTAAAGATGGTTAAGGCTTTAAAACCAGATATCACTGTGATTGTGGGTGACCTCACCGATTCCGATGTGAAGGACGTTGGGCCTGCTGTGGAACCTCTTGGCAAGCTGAACTCCTATCTGGGAACATACTTTGTGACTGGGAATCATGAGTATTACACTTCCGATGTCAACAGCTGGTTTGAGTTGTTGAAGTTGCTCAACGTTCAACCCCTCCACAATGAGAACACAAAGATTATGTCCCCTGGGGGTAGAGAGAGCGACTGGTTTTGTTTGGCAGGAGTTGATGATATTGAGGCGAATGTGTTGCGCTATTCTGGGCATGGCATGGATTTAGAGAAGGCTTTAGGGGATTGTGATGTTGATCACGCAATAGTTCTCCTTGCTCATCAGCCTCTTGCTGCAAAACGGGCTGTCCAAGCTCGGCCAGATATAAATTTGGTCTTGTCTGGCCACACTCATGGAGGCCAGATATTTCCTCTGAATATTATTACCTATTTCATGAATCCATTCTTTGTTGGTTTGTATAAAGTTGGACAAAGCACTTCTGTCTATGTTAGCCCAGGGACGATGTACTATGGAATACCAATGAGACTGGGTAGCAGAGCAGAAATAACAGAAATCATTCTGCACTGTTCTTGATCGGTTTACACCGTTTTGTGTTTGATTCCTCTTGGGCTGGTGTGGCTGATCACTTTGTACACAAAATCCATACCCTGTGTAATCACACTTTTTTTCCCCTGGAACTCTGTACTTTGCTTTTTAAGTAGTCATGTATTTTTCATCGGAAAAGACTTGAGCTTCTGTTACTGAGTCCTGGCAGGCACATGTTTAGATCAACCACATGCCTAATGATAAGCTCAGTTTTTCCTTGGTTTTTAAGGATTCCTCCTTTGAAACACTAAAAATGCTGATCTCTCCCTTTGATGTAAAAGATTATGGGTGAATCCAGCCATTTTCCAAGGAGCCTTGCTCCAGCCTAAGGAGAGGCAATTCCAGAGCTGCTGAAGTTGGAGGAAGGCCCCTTAGGCGGGAATAAGTTTGTCAAACTGTGGTCAGTGGAGTTATGGGATAGAAGTGGGATCCACCCTGATAGTTGTAGCCTATTGTTACCTTATCTGATGGTTCCTTTCTCTCATCAGTTTTTATCTGATATGCCATCCTTTCAAAAGTGTGATGAAAAGCTGCCTATTCATATTGCCTGTCCTTCACGTGTGTTTTCCCCCAACTTAATGGCACTCTAGATCAGATCAGTGATCCATCTTCTAGCCCAGTATTCTTTCTTTGAATGTAATCAACATGAGATTTTTGGATGCTTCAGGGTACTTGGTGAAGACTTGAATTTCTGGTGTCAAATATGCTTCTTCTTTTTTTAGACAAGTAAATAGCTTTTTGTTTTGACTGCCAGTAAAACAGCACCAGAAGGCTACACTTGAATATAAAATGAAAAAAGAAGGGACGAATAATAGTTTATGGTCCTAGTCCATCTGTTGGAAGTTAATTGCAACCAACTCCACTTCCATTGACTTCAGTAGTATTAAAGTATCACTGTCTGCTGTTGATTTGAAACTGCTTTGTCGAGAACTCCGTGTTAAACCAAAAAAATGTGGCTCTTTAGTAGTGATCGATTTGAACGTCACGCTTTGGTTTGAATGTTTGCTTTGCCTAACTCAGAAACAAAACCTTTCCATTTGCTACTCCTCCTGATTTGCATCCCAATCCCCTATGCGTGGTTAGTTTCTATGTTTGTTTGGTTTTAAAAAGGAAATGTGACCCAGACAGGGGCTTCCACCTTGTGGTAAATCTCCACTAACTGACAATGTTTCCAACAGCAGAATGGAACTTCTTTGCATGTCTCTCTCCCCCCCCCCCCAGGGATTTCCAGGAAAACTATGAGAGGGGAGTCAAACCAGCGGAAGAGGAGAACAGGTGAAAATAGCTTCTGCCTGGTTTGTTAACAGAAATTTACTGTGTGATTCAAGCCAGGCTTAGTAATTTTGAATAATATATTTTGCACTGCATCCGTTAGATCCTGTATTTCTTTAAAAAGCCTGAACTGTTAGAAGAACTGAAGAAGTGTGTCAGAAGTCTGTTTCTGAATTTTTTGGCTCTTTAAAATTTTCTTAGTATAGATAAAATATATTTATATTTAATACCTTTGGGGTTTATTAATATTGTTATGTGCCTGGAAGTTGCTATGCACAAAATAGTTTTTTTTAGTTCAGTAGTCCTGTGGGACTCATCATGACCACATGTTTTGAGAATGAGGATGCTGATCTGTGCACTTTTGGGGTGGGTGCTTCCATATAGACAGGCAACTGGCTACTTCTACAGTTGGAGCTACCAATCTCTGGGTTTTATAGAGCTGACATTGCAGAATATGTTAGCTAATGAAATCCTGTAGAATTGGAGGGTTTTGTCCTAAAAGTAAAAAATTGTAGTATCAATGCTTCAGATCTGAAGAATGCATTTAAAATGTTAGGCATGCTTCATGTTTCTGCATCCCTTACAAAAGCTCTTTAAAGTAGGTAGGCCCATGTTATCCTCACCCTGTCATAGGTAAGCGTATGAGGCAGGGAGAGCGCAGTCACTTGCCCAAGGCTGCTGAGTTTTAGCTAAGACAAGGCCTTAGTTGGGGACTTCTGGGCTCGCAGTGCCTGCTCTTCTGCTGTCATTTGTCTAATTTCTTGTGGCGATTTAAGAACTGCCTGCAGCAAGCCTTCTGGGAAGTTTAAAAAAAACATTTTTCTATGTTTTATTTAGTTCCACTAATCACAAGTGTAGATAACAGTAAGCTTGGTGAAAAGCTTTGGAACAATCTGCAAAACAGTTTTGTAGATTTATTTACAAAATGGGATGCATGAAAACATGTTCACTTTGCCTTCCTAAGTGAAGACTGCACTATGCGTGGGTGTATGTCTCTGTAGTTACAGACGTTAGTACCTCTGCGTGTACTTGAAGCATGCTACATTCCAGTTCCTTGCCTTCCCCTGTCTACCCAAGTTTCCTTTTAAAGTACATATAGTTAGCACTACAAATAATGATGCCTGTTTTCACAGTAATTTGTATGTTTGACTGTGTGTTGTACCTCTGTGAAAGTCTTTGCAGTAAAAGCAACCTCATTTAATAATTATCCCTTCAAATACCCCAGCCACTACCCCAAAGTAGCAGGGAAAAAAGAGAGTGATGCCATTTTGCAAAACCACCAGAACAGGTAAAGCAAACTTCAAAAGGTACCTAAAATCCTATTTTAAGGGTATTTTTTGGAAGATGCTTTGTATATAAAATGTAACTTTCCATTGGTGACAGTAGTCTTAGTTTCTCTTTGCTTCTCCCCCTGCTCTGTACCAAAAAACCTTCCCCACAGGTGAGTGTGCAGAGTCCTGGTACCTGGTCATATGCATAGAACCTGCTGCTGCACTTGCAGGTATGTGGACTACTGAGTTATGATCTTGCCACTGAGAGCCTGTTTGTGCATCACACTCATTGCGTGAAAAGGAGCCTGTGGAACCAGGCTGGAGGGAATGATAAAACTAGCAGCACTCCTTTCTTCCATCTTTGCTGTTAGCTGTCTGTGTTCCTTCCTTTCCAAATCCCTAGAGAAAACTAGCCACTGAAGGAGAAAAAACAACCAAGGAGTCCCTCCAGCTGCTTTTCAGGAAGGCTACAGCATTCAAAGGCAAGGCCTGATCTAGGAATAGCAAAGAATGATGTTGTGGAATGGAATCTAAATAGGCAGAGAATCACAATTTCCCCCCAAAGTAACAAAGTCCCTGCACGTGGGAAACTAGCAGGTCAATAAAAGAGAGCTGGGCTAGAATGTTTGTACTACTGTTCGTAATACTGTTTGGTTCTTGTGCTTTTACATATGGAAAATGGCATGTTTCAGCAAATCCTTTTTGTTTAATAATTTAATAAACTATACCCCTAGTAATACAAGAAGGAGTCCTGATACAGTTTGAATTGATTTTGCTCTCTAATTTATTTTCCTCTGAATGCATTGTTCAGTTTATATTTTCTGTTGAAACAGAGAACTCAGCACAGCTGTTGGGATATCCATGAAACCCTTGGATCGTTTTACGCAACTCGTGTCTGTAAAATGTCATCTTATGGAAGGAACCATAAGCACTTTGTAGCAGCATCCCATATATCTGATGTTTTTTCCTTTGGGTATTAAAACAAATGATTTTCAAATAACTTTTGTAGTGATCTTTTATTTTATCCTGGGTATTCTTGCCTACTGTGTTTTGTTTTGTTTTGTTTTCCATTCTGGTGCAAGTACTGACTTGCAGTAGGACAAATTCCTTTAAAAAAAAATATTAAATGTGGCTGATGGTACAGGTAAGTATTAGCATTTTTGCCCAGAGGCGAGTGACTGGGTCTCAAGCCAACCTCATCCACCAGCCTGCTCGGCCAGGGCTATTTGGTTTGTGAGAGCTATTTACTTCAAGCTGGGAGCCAGTGTTTGCTTTGAAGGAGCAGTATGTGTATGGTGCTTCAGATATAAGGCATGTTTTGTCCTCTGGTTCAGGGCACTGCTCAGACATAGCCTACCCTATTTGAATTTCTCTCAGCTCCTCCACCGCGAAAGGCCGCTTGTATAGCTATGATAAGGAAGTTGCATACCTGGTTCTGGATGAGGCGAGATGCTTTTGAAAGAAGAAGAGTACTTGAGAGTAACTGCACAATCTTCTTCCAGTGATATATCCGAAATTGAGATGACTTGTTACTTTTCTCTTTGTGACAAGGTTTTGAATTCAGTGCAAAGGATGGCAAGCAGTGGCCACAGAATAACATTCTCACGTCTTCCATTCAGCAAACCCAGCCAGTACCCAGTGTACAAGCTGCTGCTAACAAAGGCAAAATCAACCGTATAGGAGAAGGCACTTTATAATTATGGTTTTGCTGAGCTTTCATTCTGCTGTCTCACTTAGAGAAGCAGGATAGGCAAATGGTGCGGGAAGATTGTACATCACATGCCTGTTATTGATTTACAACTTAAAAGAGATTTTATACTGTTTCTGTAAATTGCCACACTGTGAAACATGGACTTCTGCGAAGCCACAAAACTTGTAGTACTACAAGTACTTCAGCTACGTGTGTATCTTCATGAGATGTGGGGAAGTATGCTTGATTCTTAAATGTATGCTAAAATGCTACACTGCAGAGAACTTCCAGAAAGCTTTTGATAAAGTTCCTCATCAAAGGCTCCTAAGTAAGCTCAATAGTCACGGGATAAACGGACAAGTCCTCTTGTGGATCAAAAACTGGCTAATTAATAGGAAACAGAGAGTGAGTATAAATGGGAAATTTTCTCAGTGGAGGGTGGTAAGCAGTGGGGTACCACAGGGATCAGTACTTGGTCCAATGCTTTTTAACTTCTTTATTAATGATTTGGAGTTGGGAGTAAGCAGTGAGGTGGCTAAATTTGCAGATGACACGAAGTTGTTCAGGGTGGTAAGAACCAGGGAGGATTGTGAGGCACTCCAAAGGGATCTGTCGAGGATGGGTGAGTGGGCGTCAACGTGGCAAATGGGGTTCAATGTGGCCAAGTGCAAAGTGATGCACATTGGAGCCAAAAATCCTAACTATAAATGCACATTGATGGGGTCCGAACTGGCAGAGACTGATGAAGAGAGAGATCTTGGAGTCGTAGTAGATAACTCAATGAAAATGTCTAGACAGTGTGCAACTGCAATAAAAAAAGGCCAACACTATGCTGGGGATTATG